ATTGTAACTAATGTAAAGTCGTACTCTCTTTTGTCAACTTTATTGTAGGAAAAAAGTTTGAGTGGAGCAACTATAGATATCCAACACTAGCTCGTTTATCAGAACGCTTAATCTGGATCTCGGTGAGTTTTTATTATTTTAATTTACCTACGCAAACACTTTTGTGGCTTAGTAAATAAAGTAAAACAATTGAACAAGTTCGATTGGCAATTGTTTTGCGTGGGCTCTGAAGGACCTTTTGCTGTATGTCTAATAATTAATGCTCCGAAAAAAAATCTTCTAAGTTAAATTTTCTTATAATTACCAAACAACACTATAACAGAGAATATCTTGGTGTACGATATAAGTCTTTGAAGCCGCCTTTCCCGTATGAAATAGCATGAAACAAAGATAGTATATTAACTTGTCACTGCAAGACCCTGGGAGCAGTAAACACGTCAACTAGTTAGCAGCTAATAAATCTCAAGAGCCGACCTTCTCGACAAAATTGGATAAGTTTATACGACACAAGAAATTGTTTGATTAACGTAATTATTAAAGCTTTACCTGTTTACTCTGTAAATAAATAATCCACTACGAGATTTACTAACGAAGTTGGGAAATTATTAGGCTTAGGGACGTTTAAAGTTTTATTTAACATTCTCTAAGAATAATAGAGAACAATATAATAACATAATACAGCGAATTAAAACCAGTGTCGAAAAGTCACCTGGCCGCGCCTGGCGGGAGGACTATGGGTCCAACGATGGACAAATCAAAACCTGATAAGGTAAACCAGAATATTATGATGGTTCCTAAATGTTACATTGTATTTTACCTACTGTTAAAAGTATTTTTTAGGATCCATATAAATGAAATTTAAATGTTCATAATTAAGTTTTGAAAATAACAGACTAGATTTGATAGTCCTTGTTTTACATTCAAATTAAATTTACTTCCTGTATTTATTACAATTTTTAATCAGCTGCAAATATAATGCAAACACTCTACAGGAATCGAAACTTATACGTGTTAAAATAACTGCACTTTCCTTAGCAAGTCTTTTTACCCGTTGAGATAGCTTCACCTGTATGTATGTATGTATGTAGTGTACGACTCCTTCGGACTCGTTTTGCCCACATTAAACGGAACATTATTCAAACTTTGTCACTTAAATAGAATGACAATATAATAGTTTCTTAGGTTTATCTCGAACAAACATAAATTTTTTTATCACAAGCAATACGATTAAACCTGGACAACACGTATGCTGCTAAATAGATCATTGACGAAAACCGTAATTTAAATCAATTTAGGCTGAAAAAGGAAAAAAAATACTGGTAGTTATTGTGAATGCGGTGCATATTTTCGATCTATCAGCTACCATTTTTCGACGGTAATACCAGTTTTTTCTTCTTACCATTTCCGCTATTAAGCAATAACTGCACTTTCGTTCGCAAGTTCTTTTTAGACTTTTAAATATCGAACAGTGAAAACCAAGAAAGAGGTTACATATCAACCAATTGTCAACTACAGATTCAAAATTAAAATAAAACAGACTAAACATAAAAAGCTTTAAATTCAAACAATTGTTTTTAACATCTTAGTGGTATATAGGTTATTATTTCTTGTATGAATTAAATGCAAACTCATCATACATTTAGCTCCTAAAGATAGCAGGATTGTAGGTTTAGATTCGAGGCATTGTATTTGCTGACACAGATTAATGAAGGTCAGACTCGCCCTGGTTGGGTAGCGGGATAAACAATGTTTTTTCATTTGTCATTCGGGTTAAGCGTATGTACAATGTAATCTGTTTAAATAAATTATACAGAAATATTATTGTGAATATAAAGTTGGTTAGACGGAGATAATGGTGTAGTGATAATGATGATAATAGTCATGTGATTCACAGATAAATATCTTTGATATATTTTTATAGTTTAGTCCTGGATAGTGAAAAAACAAAAGACAGTAGACGAAACCGTTTAATTCTGATTGGACAAAAGGATGATACATTTGATGTCACGTCAAGTACAAGTGCTTGTTGGACTAGAGATACTGTTGACCAATGACAACTAAACGAAACGCATACATTCTTCGTTAAATACTAGGAAGTTGAGGAATGCTTATACGTATTAAAACGTGTAGTTTCAAATATATATTTTAGTGACCACCTTTTCAAGGAGAAACGGCCTTCAACTTCAAAAAATAAGCTTGCTTCTACGAAAAAGATAACGCATCCAGTAGGCTATTTTGCAAGATTTAAGAAACAATTCACGATTATTTATTACTGACTACTAACCTACCGAATTGTTTTATTCTGAAACTTTTAAAAAATTAAGCATTCATGATGAACCCGTTAAAATACTTTTCTATGACGCACCATGCCTATTAACATGAAGCAAACGAAAAGTGTTTACACGACTTTTGTAAATCAATTATGAATTTGTAAAATAATTGATTTACAAGGATTAAAAATTATTTTACTCAATATCACTATTTAAGTCATGTTTCAACAGATTAGACATAGACATAACATTTATTACTAACGAAACACACACACAAAAACAAAAAAAAAAAAAAATTTTTTTCTTTTAATAAACAAGGTACGTTTTAACGGTATGTGTCTGTTGTGGTAGTAACTAGACCTGGCTCAGCATTATGCCGAGAAGCAGAGTGTTCCACAGCGGTTTTAATAACACTTTTATTTTCATACTCTCAAATAGATATGGGCTTTTAAACTTTAAGGGGATATTAACAATGCTATGACTAAGTAAAAATTACTGCTTACAAAGTTGGAAAATACGATTTAATTTGCGTAGTTATAATGCAATATAAACTTACAATATAATTGTATCAAAAGGCCAGATATCACCGGATAAGGGACAATTTCCTACTGTTGACACTTGACTGCATGGGTAAGGGAAGAATCTTGGAGGAATTAATCACAGATGACGGAGGCTGACAGGGTATCCCCGGAAATTATAGAATTCCCTGAAGGGACTGATATCTGACCCTACCCTAAACAATTAGTGTTCCTCAACAAATTTTTGAATATAGAATAAAAGTAGAACAAATAACAGAAAAACATGTGTGTGTACTTAGGTATGTACACGCGTTAGAAGTTATACTTCATTAGCGTAACAAGATAAAAATCTATTTCAATTTTTTATCTTACGCCTTATTCTAAGCTTGTAGAAACGACACTAACAATAGAAAAAAGGTATTTAATACATTGAAAGATTTATTATAACGCATTTTCTAGTTAAATAAAGTTTATTTAAATAACACAAAAAAATATTTCTACATAATTACAGAAATGGACATTTTTTATTTTAAAATGTTGACTATGCTAACTTCAGGGTGTCGGTTTTTTGTGACGGTGTGCACGCGCATCATAAAAATTTACGCTCATCATGTTTCCCTAACGCGCCAAAAGAAGTATAACTTCAATAAAATCTTTAATCCACATCTCGTGAGCACTAAAATAATAATAAAATTCCGTAGCCTAGAAAAGCGTTTCGCATTCTGTTTTTTTTATACACAGACAATTATTTAAAATTAATATTAATTTCGGAAGCAAGCGTTGCAATTTTATAAAGATCAAAACGGAATAGCTACCGGACACCTGAATACCGTTAATCATAAGTTTCGAAGTTAGATAAACTTGGTCGTAAAGCAAAGCACAGTTTATGTTCTCTTTACTTAATAAGTTGCTTCATGGTGTAAATAAATTTAACGCTCTTCGAGTCTTTGATAGAGTCCGCACGTGTCACGGAGATAGATGAGGATAAAAACACGCTAAAGGTTGTTTAAGGCTTATAAGCGTGTTTGACGTTGAAGCCTTATGTGGTGTTACCAAGTGAACACTAAGTTATATTGTACCTTATTTGGTATATTTAAATCTTTATTTGGTACTGAATATTGTAATGAAACGAGGCTCTTTAAGACACGACTGTTTAATACGAGTGTTGGTACAATACTGACTTATATTAAAACATTGATGCATTTATATTAATCATGTAGGCACAAAACATCCCCCTTAGTAAAATAAAAAAATAAAAATACATAGCAAATGTTACAAACAAAATAAAATAATTTCTATGACAATTTCTATAACTAATCAAGAACTTAATTTAAGATGTGAATACACAATAAAAAATAAAATGATGTAAATTAACAATATTTGATTCTGTAAACTAGATTAAACATTTATAATTTAAAATCAAAAATTAAAAAACAAAATTAATACGAGTGTTGGTGCAATACTGACTTATATCAAAACATTGATGCATTTATATTAATCATGTAGGCACAATATATACACTAGTATACATTTAAGTTAAACATAGCATGCTAAAACAGCGTTAAGTTTTGTAGTGAATGTCGTTCGTCCAGGCACTAGGCCAACACAGTTTATCATAATACATATTTTGGGGGATTAATATTGTGTATTAACTTGTTTATAACATTGTATAACAAACTGATGACTACAGAAAATAATAATTATTTAAAACGAAATAAAAAGTATACCCTTTATTCATAAAATCCTTATTATGATATTTACATTAAAGTAATAGTACCTTTTTTTTTAATGGCTCTGGCACTATTTGTGCATTAGCCAGCGTCAAGTATAGGATTTTTTATATTTCGTGCTTGTCTTTAGAAACCGTGTGATCGACCGTGTCCTCATGTACGGTTTAAGCACTCGCCCGGTACCGCACAACTCTCCCAAAGGCCGAGAACAAATTTAAATTAAATTAAAACTTGCCCTCGAACCGGGAATCGAACCCTTCACCTAGCTGCCACTTAATAAGACCGCTAGGCTATGAGGCCCCCCGTAATAGTACTTTCTGACAAATTGTGTTTACGTCATGATGAAAAGATATAGATTTCTATTTAAAACGGTGCAATGGATTATTATTATTATTATTTATAAATAAGTGGGGCATACGTTAATGAAAGTACTAGATAAAGTCAAATAAAAAAGATTTGGTTAGGTTCGTACTACATCTTATTTAATTTTCTCCTGCATACAATCCAGCAAATATGGGTGCATTTTCAAATAACACATAATAAAGGAAAGGGCGATTTGCGTTGAAAGTTTCAAAGGTATTCACAGGAGTCATCGGCGCAGTTCTTATCCCGATCACAGCCGCTGAAAAATACGTATGGTACCACTAAAATTTATTTATAAAATGTTCTGCACAATGTTATTGCCTAAATGTTATTAGATATAAATAATATTTAATGAAAACCTATTATAATTAAAAGCAGGATGCATAATTCTTAAGTTACGCTTGAAGTAAATGTGAGAATAGTGTTGGTCTAGTGACTTCGTAATCCTGAGGTCGTGCATTCAATTGCCGACTTGACGCATTTCTGTTTATACAAGATGGTCAAAAAGTCGTGGATCAAGCGCAAATTGGGGATAGATGAGGTCATCAGCTGCAAAAATCAACCCCTGCAGAGTTGTAATTTATTTTGCGTTTTTATAAGAAAATTGCCTTTTTCACGAATTCTTATTAAAATTCGAAAATATCTACATCCTGTATCTTTTTCATAATATCCACTAGATTGGTACTGATGAGTTCTTGCGTTAGACATACTATTTATAGTTGTTTATTGAGTGTATTGAAGATAATATTAAGTTATACTATATAATTTTTTTTTTTAAGTCATAACTTTTAGTTTACTTCGGACCCCACTGTGAAAAAAAATTACTCTACCGAAAAGTGACCCTGTATAACAAGTTTTGGCGCATTTAATAGGGATTCTGAAAAGGTATTACACATAGCCATGAGTCGCTCTTATATCTTTCTAGGATGAAAAAACAACAAATACGATTCGGACTTATGATAGATTATTTTGATGTCTGGGTCTCAGATTTCTGAATCTGTTTCATGATCTTTTACAAAGGAAATACATAGACATCAGATTTGCAAGAGAAGATAAACAGGCGCAAAATAGAAAAATTGGCTGCTAGGGCAAACCGTGATCAACACAGAAAATGTACAATTCCAGTATTGTGCTTTGATCTAGAGAATCTAGATAATATCATGTCCCAAGGCATGATCACAGCATAGAAAAATTATAAAATACAGAAATCTGAGGCTAAGGTTACATGGCTGCTGTATTATTATTACTTGTGAACGCATTATATAACTTAATGCTGTATATTTATTTGTGTTTGACATACTTAAATCTTAACGAACTTTTAAATTTAGAAAAAATGATTTCTCTCTGGCATTTATTTATTGTGCACCCGCATAAAGTCCAGCGAATATTGGCGTATCGTTTTACATAATGTAGTAGAGAAATGGATAGTTAGCACGGAAATGTTCAGGTTCAAACTCTGCGGCTTCCGATTCAATGGAAATTGCTGAAATTTGTATTCAAACTATTAGAAGAAGACAATATATGTAATGATCAAATCGCTTTCTATTACTACCAGCGCTTTCTGCAAGTTTCTTCTTCGTTAAGTTAATTTGTACATAGTTATAAACAAAATCGCCATCGCTTTTGTAAACTAAAGCTGGAGCCACTAGACCAACACTGCTTCTGGAAACTGCTTTTGGAAACTACGTTAAACTAAAAATTAATTACAATCGTTAAAATAATTATAGCTGTAATTAAACAATCCGCATGACTCTGATGAAAATATTTACCGTTTCCTGCAGCTGCTTCCGAACCGTCTTCGTTCACAGTTATTTTCGCCTTTTGAATTGCACTAGAGACGTATATCGGTTCCGGGTACTTCAGTATACCAGATAGATCGGATCGAATATTGCTGTTACTCCAATCTGAGGAACAGGATTATATTAAAAGTATGTATTAGAAAACTCTCTCTTTAAAATAAAAAATGTGTAAAGCTAATAGTTTATAAATTTTTACTTGAAAATATACTAGATGTATTAAAATAATTTTCACATATCATGCTCTCAGGCGTGCGCCTGATGCAAACCCACACTCACCCTTCCAAACACTCTCTATTACACACACACCCTCTCACACACTCTCTTTACAAATTAGAGAATTATCACTAAATAAATTCAAAGCCCTCGTTAAACGAAAATTAATCAATAAAGCTTTTTATAAATTTGAGGAATACTTAAATTATTCTAATCCTTGGGATTGATTTGCTCCAGTTCAAACAATTTGTATGACAATACTTAGCGATTAAAAAGAGTGGCGAAAAGTTTCTTGCCAGTTCTTCTTACCCGCTCTACGCCCTTGACTTGCGAACTGGTAGTAAATGTAAATTTACAATTAATTTAACTTCTTTCTGACAATTTATAAGTGTACTTGTTTACCTACATGAATAAAGATATTTTAAGTTTGAGAGTTTTGAGTTTGATGCTGGTCCACTTACGTAAGTTCCGCAACCACGATATCTTCCTTCTATATATTCTTTAACCACTAAGCTATAAATATTACCTTGTCTAAGATGTCAGCTAAGTCAATGCTTGACTCTGTCTCTATTATCGGAATCGAAATATTCACCCGAGCTGAATATAGATGATTGATGACGTCAAATCTAGACTTTGCAGTAGATCAGCCACTGAATATACACTGTGCCTTTTATCTGGTAAGATTGAAACAAATGAGAAATTTTCGTTATTATAAGGCAACTGAACCACCTGTAATATAAATATTAGTTTAAGCTAAAAGCTTTATTTTCGACCTTTAACTTAAACAATATCTAGTCAATAATAAAATGTGGCCATGGGCTTCTATAACTGCCCTTAATGGAAATCCCGTAAGCCCGTCGTTTGCTCCCATATTATATAATTATTATTATTAAAACATAAACAAGAAATAATCGTAAATGTAATTTGTTAGTCCAAATCAAAAGTTATAATATGCAAATTAAAAAAGTGAAAATTTGCGTTAAATAACAATCTGAAGAACTGTTGTCTTTCTGGTGCTATTCTCAACTCTGAGATCCTGTCTTCGGAATACATTTTCCTGTACACATAAATATGGCGTACATACTACTAAATGTTGCTAGTACGTTTAAGGAAAATATCTTGAGTACACGCCAAAAAGTCGGGCATAGCAAGTTGCCTACTTGTCTATAACTATATATAATATAACTTCTGCCCGTTATTGTTTGAAAAACTGTTATGTACGTAGCTAAGTCTATTCTAAGGGTTTCCATACAAAAATGTATGATCAATATTCTTCTAAATACACTGTTCGTATTGGTACAAGTCAATTGTCAAATACAAACCTTTGATTGTATATTCTCTATATAACCGTAATTAAAATGGCCGATCTGGTTCATCATTTTCACTGAACTCTTCTTCCTGTTTGTGACGTGGAAGGTTTGGGGTTTGTCCTTTTCTCCTTAAACGGACTTTTCCAGGATCCCTTAAGGATAAAAAATGTTAATCAAAAAGTTATATAACCATGACATGTAAATACAGGTTTTTTACGTTTATTCTCCCTGAAAATGAACTTATGACTGGGCCGTCTAAACACATATATTTATATAACTAACAACGCCACATCTCAGAGAAAATATAGAATTGAAATATGAAAAATTATTATATGATGATGAACCTTAATGATAACTTGTTGTCACTGTGTATTCAAACGACAAAGCACGAAAAAAAATACAAAGATATACAAAGTGTATGAACCTGAACGGTTACCACGTCGAAAAATAAAATGACGTTTAACAAAAGAGAATTGCGACACAAGCTTTCTTTATTATATTATTATTTATATTCAATAAATGATTATTTGCGTGAGACACTGTAGTTGATATAAATTTAATAATGTATGATATGATATTATGTACGATATAAATTATATAAGAACTGACAAATTCATATTACTAATAATGTTAAATGTAAAATTCCTTTAAATACAAATTTGCGCGCCATTGTGTGTGGCAGAATATGGGAACTTACGTTTGTACCACCTTACACATTTTTGAACCATATTGTTGCAATAAATTATTATTATTATTACACTTTTAGTATTGCCAAAATTAAATTCTAAAAACACAGATTTCTAAATATAAGTTTAAGATAAAAATGTTACCTTGAAGTAAATAGCATCTGTTAACACAAGTCTAGTGCTTTCGTCTAAAGCGGATGGTGAAATTAAATCTTTTATTAGATTGTTTGTTTGTGATGAAACCTGAAAATAAGTATAGAAATAAAACGCCAAATTGTACTACATCAAGAAATCAGTATGCTTGTCTTAAGCCTACAACGCACTAGCGGCTGGCCGTGATGCGGTGTGCCGCTGCGGTAGGCCGCAGTATATACGGTCTGCCGTAGCGGCATGCCGTATTCCGGCTAACCGTCCCTATTGCGGTCTGGCGTAATCGTCACTCGTCAAGTGCTTCTTGAAATATTGCACATGATGGACGTTGAAGAAGTTGCGGCAGGTAATCAATTTATATCATCGTAGAAAATATCGTCAAAAATACTCTGCGTAGTGTCTAGCGCAAGGAACAAGCGATGACTGAGGCGGGTAGGACGTGGTATTTGCGGCTAACCGCGCCGAGTGCGTGGAGGGGATGCGGCGCGCCGCATCATTCAACCGTTGCGGCTTGCCGCAGCTCCAGATCAACCGGAGCGGTTGACGGTTGTCCGCAAGTCAGTGCGTTGTTATCGTGCGGTTTCATGTAATAATCGATGTGCGGCCTGCCGCTAGTGCGTTGTAGGCCTTAGTAAAAGAGACAGCTTAAACGTATCAAAGGTTGATACGTTTTTGGCCCTGAATCAAAACCATTAAGAAAACTTTTTTTTTGTGTTCTCGTTCATTTGCAATCGGCTATCAGCCATAATCAGATATTTGCTGAGGTTAATTTGGGTCGGGTGCTATTCCATTGCACCGTATGTGTTGGTAGTAACTTGATTTTTATTTTAGGTTAGTTTCTCTGGTCTAAATCTATTTGTCCACTTTTTATGCGAGTTACATCATCTCCTGGAGAAAACTACACTAAATTATGCTGATGCAGAAATGTGTCTTAGAAAAAGTTAATTTATGTTATCAAAATGAGATTGAACCTAATAAGTTACGGAGTTCAACAACAATGAACAAATTTAATTACACATGAATTTATTTCCTTAGCAGCTTCCTCCGGTTCGCTAAACTCCAAGTTTCTGGATTGAGCTTGAAAGGTGTGTTTGGTGTCCTGTTTAAAGGATTTACTGAACGGATAATCGATACTTCCGAATACTCTTTCTACTAAAGAGAAGATAACGTTCCGTTGAGAATTGATCTCGTCCAAATATTGGGGTATCGTGGATCGAATCTGCAAATTAAGCGGCAAAAGATAGCGTTATCTGTGGGTTAAGCATATCAAATAGATTTTGTCAATTTGAAACGACAGTCTTTCGCGCGCTCATTTAACATTCGCTCGAACGGTGAAGGAAAACATCTTGAGGAAACCAGACTATCGACAATAAAAACTTGTTCCATTTAAATAATTATATTATATAGTTTATTCAAAAATATAAAAAAATATGAACCTTTTCTTTATAACATATTCTAATGTTACCCTAAAAAAGTCGAGGCGTTGCGGGCTCAACGAACTTTGCTGCTATCTGTTCTTGATTATTGAGATGCTGTCAGGCACAGAATTTATATTTGGGCCGGGCTAGGCGTTCATCCCGGCGTCTCCGGCTTTAAGAACCGCTACTTCTCATCCCTTAGGCCGTAGCTTGTGGCTTTCACTACTTATGGAAAAAAAGAAGGTAATTTGAAAATAAATATTAACCATTGTGTTTCACTACATGGTGACAGCGGTGCTTAAATTTTATTGAATATCTGAGATATCTCGGCGTATTTTGGTCTCAGTGTCAATTACGTGATCATCAAAACCGTTTGTGATAATAATAATGGAACACGCGCGTCCTCCGGGTGAATTAGCGGTCGAAGGTGGTCCAGCCGCGCGCGCCGACGCGTGGCGAAAATGGCGGTCGAGGTGTTTCTCATAGCATCCGGGGTGAGCAAGGAGTCTGAGGAGATTCAGGCCAGTTTGTTGGTTAACCTCATCGGTCCGAGTGGCTACAAGATCTTTAGTACATAATAATACCACACATTTAACATTCGTTTAAAAGACAAAACATTGTGAGGGAACCTGCTTGCCTTAGACCGACACAACCGTTGCGTGTATCAGGCACAGGATTTTGCCAGACTTGCCTATAAGATAAATTTAAACAGATTTAGAAGCCCAGATCTATAGTAAGTAGTAATATCAATATTATACAAGAAATAGCGATGGATAGTATAGTAATACATACGTCATTTCTCCTATTCAAATTCAGGAGATTCGCCAGTTGCTCATAAGTCTTCCCTTTAGCATAAAGAGCTAATTGCGATAAAAGAAATAGAACACTGAACGGGGACATTATCACACTCACATTCGGCTTCTCATCAATTACGTCCTGAAATCAGAATAAACGACGTAAATTTTATTGACAAGTTATATTCGTATGTATTACTGATTAAAGTGATTATATATAGCTATTTATTACTCAGTCAGACTTAACTAGTATCTGTCAAATTGTGTTCAGGCTGTAAAGACCGATCAACGCTTATCCGGCTAATGTTAGAGTGATTTAGTTTAAGCATAGGAAAATAATAAAAAAAAATTATGAAACTCACGTATAAAAAGTTGGCAGTGAAATCATCGTTCCCTTGGTCGAAATCGTTTCGCATACGACGCTGTTCATCGCTTTCATCTGTAATTAATTATTACATAATTAAACCATGCTGATCTATGATTTTTTATAGATTTAGTAAAACATTATTAAGTTGTTTAGCTACTAAAGTTATCAACTAAATAAATATTAAAACAGTAACCCTGGTTTCACAGAAATTACCCAAATTATTGTAGACAGTTTCTGTTGTTTACTGTGTACTTACATCCTCGTTAATAACATTAAATTCCTTGAACAGGTGGCACGAAAGCCTAGACATATAATATACATAGATGCACCTACTTATGTTAATTAATTTAAAGGGTTTATTCATAAGTAATATAATATTTTAATGATAAAATTTATATTTGTGAGCGTCATATAAGATCTGTGTAGGAATGTAAGGGCATCGCGTGTTTAAAATACTTATTTTATAGATTTTTATGTTACAGGAGGCAGGAAGCTCACCTAATGTTAAGTGATACTGCCGCCCATGGACACTCACAGAAGGCTCGCAAGCGCGCTGTCGCCCCTTTAAGAATTTGTATGCTCTTTTCTTTAAGAACCCTAGGTCGTATTGATTGGTTCGGAAATTCTTCAGTGGGCAGCTGATTTCACATAGTGATGGTGCACGCGAAAACTTCCTTAAAAAGGCTCAGTTGTGGAACAATGGATGTCCTATTAGGCGTTCGTGAATTGAAATAATAGGACGGTTAGAGTCCTATTAAAGGTGTTTAAAACGCAGGGAATAATAATTATAAATCTATTTCTACCCCATAGTCATTCTACTACTAAATAAATTAAAATTGCTCATTAAAGCTTACCAGCCACAGATGGAATACATAATATTTACCTACATAAAGGATTTTTTTTTAATAAGTGTGTTATCATTTATCTCTCCAATATAGTTAAAAAAACAGGAGCACTTCACGCAATAGGCGATTAGCCTGTGTGAACGAATATTACATATACCATAGACAGGATATACATTGGTGCACAGCCGGGTATCCAACCTCAGGTATGAGAGTTGCACCCAGACGTTATCTAACACTGATCTATTACTTATGCATTTATTTATTTACACTTCGTTGCAATAAAAATAAAAGAAACACAAATAACACAATACATAAAAATTATAAGGAATGCAACGGGTGGCCTTATCGCTAATAAGCGATCTCTTCCAGGCAACCCTAGTTAAAGAGAAAAACTAAAAAATGAAACATGATGAGTGCGAGAAGTGCAGAACCAAATGTTATACAAATATATATATATAGAACCCTGATCTAAACTAAAAGTAAGTAATACACAAAAAATATTAATAACAAACTAAAAACTTGAAAGCTAAACATGCATGCCGTTTTTTCGTCTTTACAGGGTACATTTAATTTTTTTCGTAGATGTAAAATTTTATTGCAATGATCGTAGACGTTTTTTAAATAAATAAAAATTAACCCACTTATATAATTTAAAATAATAGTTACCTGATGATGATGAACTATCACAGTTGATGGTACAAATTAACCCCGCTAACAATAACGCAAAAATATATTTAGACATTATGAAGGACGAGAAGTAAATAACGATAGCAGTGCAAAGTATTTAAAAATACGTGCATTTTATTAATTATCATCTATTATAATAATTTATTGCATAATAGTGAATTTTATCTATTCGATTACAAGTGGACAAATAAACTGATTCACGAACATTTTAGATGTCCTTCAGCAGTGTCAAAACTTATTGAAATTCGATATTCTTTGAATATCTGTTTTTACACGCTTTATATTAGCTTCACCTGTATGTATGTATGTATGTATGTAACTGACTCCTTCGGACTCGATTTTGACCCACTTTAAACAAACAGATTTAATTCAAACTTTGTACACGTATAAAGAATCAGCGACAATATAATAATCACATAGGTTAATCTCGAAAAAACAATGAATTTTTTTAAGTCCACAAAGCAATACGGTTAAATTGAGTCAACACGTATTGCTGCTAGGACTAAAAAGTGGAAAATAAATATAGTTTTAAAAAACTAAAAAACACGCTTTTCAAGCACATCAAACTAAAAAGTGAAAAATAATTCCTAATTTAGGCTGAAAATGGTAATGAACAAAAAATACTGTTTATCATTTATCATTAGAGCTTTACTGCAACTTTTGAAAAATTTGGCTACTAAAAAGTTTCTTAATAGTTACGGTCGGTAAGTAGCTCATGACTGAGTATCGTGGTCAGCAAGATAACATCGGGAGCAGACGATGTGTCTTTCATGTGCCTCTTTTATTGTGGTAAACAGTATTGAGCACGATCTTTCATTTGATCGATCCAACTGGTTGAAACGGTGAAACCTGGTAGCAAATTTAAATTTAGAAGATTTTTTTTTCTTGTGTTAATATAAAAATTGTATAAAAGTTTTATTGCTAATATAGCAGAGATTACAATTGGTACAGTAAGTTTATCAAAGCTATAAAAAGAAAGTAACTGGGTATAGAGTATAAACTGTTACGCCTTTAGTACACCTACGCAATCGCATGCGGCAGCGAAACGACGAAAAAACTGTAAGTTGTATGGCAACGTTTCGCATGTGTTTTGTCTCGCTCTATTATATAGCTAGATTAAATAGTTGCGTCCTTGTCGGTATTGTTTCGCAAGTAACTGCGAAATGGCTGTTACACAGACGCAGCCGTTTCGCTAGCGGGGTTTCGCATCGCAATGCGTCACCACGCGTTCTGTCAGTGAGGACAGAATTTCGCACAATGGAAGCCGAAAATATTGAATTATTATTAAATTTGATTCGAAATGATCCCGAATTATATTTAGTTGGGCATGTTAATTACAAAAATGCATACAAAAAAGAGGTGGCATGGAGGAAAATTCAAGAAAAGACGGGGATAAAGAAGTAAGAAATAAAGCTAAGGTAAGAAATAAAGCTACAATGACATTTCCTTGCGAAAAAACTGCAGTGTACTAACGTTCCGCAGATATTTCGCTACCGCAATTATTTCGCAAAGACTCGCAGCCGCATACGAACGCGTAGGTGTACTAAAGGCGTTAGTAGTGTAATTTGCAAAAGAACCACAGACTGCACAATATTGACAAAATAGAACGCGCCAATTTTATTTTTAACAATGTCTTTATATTTGAGTGTACATTCTGTGTAAAAGTCAAAGTCAAAAATCATTTATTCATGTAATTACCACAATGAACACACAATACACTTATGAACGTCAAAAAATAAATATACATTAAATGCTTCTAATTTCACATTTACTGCCAGTTCTCAAATCAAGGGCGTAGAACGGAAGAGAAGAACTGGTAATAAACTCTCCACCAATTTTTTTTAAATCGCCAAGTTTTTTGTTTTACATTTTTTATAAAGGTGAACAGTCATATAGATACAGTGTATCCAGGCAAATGAGAATAATTTATCTCAAAAACTGAATATATCATTACAAGGTTGTACTTTAATAAAACAGCTCTAATTTTATAGCGTGATTTAATTTTCGCCATTTTACTCTTTGTTCCTAATAACGCAATGTTTGCGTGTCGTTCACTATAAAAAATTTGTAATTAATAACTCCAACGCCACTCGTTTATGTTAATACGGGTCATTTTTCTTTACACTAATACGCGTCTTTGAAATCAACCTGCTTCAAACCCTACTTTGCAATTTCATTGCCCTCAGATCTTATCTCTATCAATTATGGCCCATAAAACGTAATGACTTCATCGTAAATCTTCACTTTCCACGACACAACTTCACTGGTGTTGAATAAATGAGGTCAAATTGCTTTACCTAATAATGACTACTTGTACCCATTATGTTGTGGTGCGTAGTAATTATAATTTTATAAATTGTTAGGGAAAAGTGACGGTGGCAAAAGTCGGGGAACCCATTGATCTAACCAAATGAAGACAATTATGGGTCGCAAGTATAACATACTAATGTTTATTATGGAATATAAGATACAGATATCACTTAACGGCCGAGAGAAAAATCCGCCGTAAAAAACTGTCGGTACTCTTTTAAAATATCAAATCATCATAGAAAATGATTATGGCAAACATAGATAGAAGCATCGCAACGTCCCTAACGCACTGAGACAAGCTAATAGAATGGTTTGGAGGCAGCAAGTCAACGTGTATCGTTAAGGCTTTTCACGACAGGCACGGCAGTAATGAAGACTACGAAGAAGAATAAACACTACCTATTCGCTATTTCACAGGTAATTTTTTGCTTATTGTTAATATCTAAAAAAAATTATATAAATATAATTGTCATATATCATAGATAATCTAGCTTGTAACATATACGTATACAAATACATATAGTGTGAACATACATATTGTGTAAATATATATTGTGGTGAACTTTAATAAGTAAATAAAAGAAGTACCCACTTTGTTGTAGTGGATCTACCTTACCTAAGTATTTGGGACGGAACTCCTGTATAGTACCTATTGATTTTAATCGTAAACAAGCAATTACTTTAAATACAAATATATATAATATAACATAACGAATTATACAAAGTTGTCTGCTATATGTTATATTAATTTTATATTATTGTATATACTAATATACAATAATATAAAATTAATAAATATAAAATAATATTGTATACTAATACAAAACCGCTACAGGCTTTTAGGTCTGATCCTTATTCTAATAGGCAACCTTCTGAGCCAGACACACATCTTCGACTTTTTCGGTCTAAGAACGGTTTCCGCGCGATGTTTTCCTTCGCCGCTACAGAAATGCAAGGAACGAAAGAGGTATCAAATAGCCACGTCTTCCTTGCGTCTTTATCCTTCTGTGTAACATTATTGTTTAGCTTATAAATAAAACACAAACGCACATTATTTTTTTTTAATAATAAAAAAGAAACCTACTACTACGTAACACCGCCATTATACTAATTTCATCACGTTATATAACTACACATACACGTGTACAGTCACTTGCAAGATAATAAAAAGTTTGACGCCTAAATTAATTCAAGGACACGAAAACGTGGCGTAGCAGTAAATATTGTATCTGTTGGCTTTCGATATTAGACCAGACTTTTATTATTGTAATTGTCTTTAATATAAATGACGACGATTTTTCAAATACGAATCCATGAATTTCAAATCGCTGATAAGATTTGTATACAAATTATGATTACTGTGCGTTTCCACGCAACTTAGCTGATTTGTAAAAATTATAAAACATCAATTTAGGTATCATGCAAATACAGACCGCCATATCTTTGCAGAGTTTTTATTATTATTTGCTTTTATAATAATAAATATTAATATTTGTTCTTGTTAAAGATTAGTGTATTTTCAGTCCATACAAGACATCAAGGATCAAGTATGTTTTTAATTTTATTAAAATGATTAATTTCACGTTGTACCTTTCTTTTAAAATCAAGGTTACTTCAGAAAAAATATTATTTTTGTCAATGCTTTTGATTGGCATCAAAAATAGGGTGTTTGTCTTCATATTTGAGTCGGTTCAATTCCCAGGCGAGGCAAGTAATTTTAAGAAAATCATTGAATGCAGTAATACTTACTTTTCAAAATAAAATAAAGTATTTTTTCAGCAAAATATCCTATCTACGATATTTAAGGTACTTTCCCTTGATGTGCCATAGTCTCGGGACGCCCTGTATATATGTCTATACCTACATCTTTATATGTTCGCAGAATGAGTTCACAATAGCGATGTTGTGTATAAGATGTATTTTATTATATGTATTTTTAATTTTTCGACATTATCGTATTGGCTTAGTACTGTAAGGATTATGTATATATTCAAGTACATTTTAAATACATACATAAATACATAGAGCTTAGAGATTATTGAACTACTGGATGTATGTATGTTACATACAGCCTACGACCATTGATACGTCGTGTCTCTATTTTCATGGTTGGATTTGTCAATATTTTTTTTATCAGAGAAGCAAGAGTTCATCAGAAAAAACATAAGGTAAGATTTTGTTTCTTAAGCTGGTAATCTCAGGATATTTCTTTCATATTAGTGCATTTATTATATAAACAAACCCATAAGTACATAGCACTCAGTACTCTGGATTAAATGCCACGTATACTGATACTATTCACAGCTCCATGTATCCAGAAATACACACTTAAAGCAACACGTACAAAATTAGTATCATTAAAATTAATTTTTGCATATGGAAGCATTTATTAAAATGTTAACGTGAGGGACGACACCGTGATAAATGAATCCCGTCTGCCTTATTAACTTGTTAGTGCTTACATGGAAATTGCTTTAAAAGTTGCGGTAATGGCTTGAAAAAGGCTTCATTTAACAATAAACCTGGGGATATATATCAAGAGTGTCTTTTTTTAGAGTTTCACACTTTTGCTTCAATTTTGTTTGTTTGAAATTAATTATGAACCAATCTACAGGTACTTTGGAATTGACACGTATAGCTAATTACATTATTTTGTAGCTGTGTGGATTAGATATCGAACACAAAGTAAAATCATTTATTTCAATTAAAAATAAACAGTGGTGGCCTGGAAGAGATCGCTCGAAA